TTGTCTCCCTCCCCCTCCTGGTGGTACATGAATTCAGTTCATCCTATACTCTCGCCCTTTTCAGAACTAGTCAAGGTTCGTCTCGTAAGCTCTCGCCCTCTTGAATAGGCCTGAAATAACTTCATCCCCGTAGTCTCCTCACGCTCCAGAGGGCATGAACAAAGTCTCTTCCTCCCGTGCTCTCGCCTTTCTGAGGTTACCTGAAGACTTTTCTTCCCTCTCTTCTTCTCTTGCTTTGCCCACCTCACCATCCTTTTCCCCAAACTTCTTCCTTCCAATTCATCTACGCCCATCCATCTCTACTCTCACCCATACTTATCTCGCCATATTTCTCTCAACCTTACTCCTCGAATTCCATCACGAAAACACTCTCGAAATTCCTTCCGTTCAAATCCACACATCCAGCTTGCGGCTCCAAAAGGTTCCGTCTGGACGCCTGCTTGGTCGAATTTAGCCTTCACTCTCAACAGACAGCAACAGAGTAACGTCAACAAGGTAAGGGCTGTCACTTCTACTCCCATCGAGTTCTCCATCGTCTTCTCATCACATTTCTTCCCTTTCGCGGTTCACTGACCAACTATTCCCAGGCTTTTCGGCCCGACAATATCGCTGGCTCTTCAAGGAGCTCCAGAAGACGACGACACAGCTCTTGCGCCTCTCAACAGATTTTGAGCTTGCCTCTGGACACCAAGGCTTCTCCCTGAGATCACTGTGACAGCGCTGGAACAAGATTATTGTCCTTCATCGACCCCTTTGGTAAGCTTTCACTTCTCTCTTCCCTCTCGAGATCCAGCTTACGAGAGAAACAACATACAGCCCGAACGAGTCGACAAGTTTGCTTGACTTGCTCAATTCTTTGCAGATCACTGGCTCCATAGCTTCAACGATACTCCAGAAAAAGGGCACGCACCTGCTTCAACATCTGACGATACCGTCGAGTTTGTTAATTTTGCTATCTCGGTATGTAGCATTTCTCATCAACCACTGATACTCGTCTTCTTCCCGCGCCTGTTTTGTTTGCTCTCCTTCTTTCTTACTGCGACGAAAGTCACATAGCAAGGCTGTGTGGCTCGAGTCGCTGTGGTGACCGAGGGAGCCAATATCCTCTCCCCTCTGGGGCCACGAAGACAAGTGTCGAGGGGTAGGATCTGCACATTGTTCACTCATTCGTATAGCCTCATTCCCTCCCCCAATCTTCCAGTGTCAAATGGTTTTAGCTCACTTACAGACCAACCCAAATGGGTTGGCGGGTGGGTGTTTGACACGGTGCATAGATCCAGTGATCTCACCGAGCTCACCTTCCACTTCACCTTGCCCATTTCTGTGCGTATTCTCCTGAAGATTTCCCGGGTGCGCCTCCTTAAGGGACTTGTGTGGGCTGCACCTGCCTTCTCGGAAGATATCAACTTTTTTTTCACCCTTCTTTGTTGTATCACCTACAAACCTTCCATTACTTCTACTTCCCACCTTCAAGACTTCCGGCGCTTCTGCATCACCCAGCCTCTTCACCCTCCCATCACCAGTCCAGAAATATTCCTCGAGTATTTCCACATACTTCCACACTACCTTTCGTTTCATACTACATCCTACACGCCCACACTTCCCAATTCAATCCGTCTCGCGTGGTCAAGATGGCCGACTCAGGTAGCGCTCGCTCTCGGGCTGGGCGCGGAGGCGTTTGTCTCGCCGAGCATTCGCCCCAGTTCGCTGCGACACGCGAGCCATTCCGGACGACTCCTAGCTCGTCTTCTGACAGCACCGTCCGCAATGCTGGATCACCTTCTGATGTCTTTGCGGCCGATCTTTCTAACCAAAACTCGCAGCTCAACCACAAGAGTTACCAGTTGCCTCAGCCACCGAAGTTTCAGCCGACAAACCTCACTTCCACCAAGAGTCAGGATCAGGAAAACAACCAGAAACCAAGTCGTACTATCAGTCAGCATCCGCCGCACTTCTCAACAGGAAAGGCATCATTTCCCTCTGAGAGAACGGCATTGGCAACTCCAACTGGGCGTTCTGCAGTACAGCCAAACACCCTTGGACATCGATCTGGCCCGCTGCCGTCTTCTACATCTATTCGTGACTTCGAAGGTACCCCCAGCGCCAAGACTCCCGGTCATCATACCCCGGGTTCCTTGAATAACGACACTCGACGAATTCAACAGCATCCTGCCCCCCTCGAGGACAAAACAAAGCTCAAGCCAACTTCTGAACTCACAAAGACGAACAAGATTATCGCGAAGATGGCTACTCACTGTCATATTGACGGACCTTTGGCTGGCCCTCTCCGGGAGAGTCGCCGCTCCGAGCTGGCCAGAGACCATGTAAGTCACATTGTGCCTCGATTGGAGCCTTCCTTCACCTTGAGCCAGGCTTCTCATCTCCCAGTTTCCATCTTCGCCTTTCTTCTTTGGTTCTCACTGTTTTGGCTTTTGTTTGTTGCTCCGGACCAAATTGCTGACTTTGAGATGAAAGCCCGCTTGGATTCCCGCTCGGCAAGTTCAAGCCGGAATTATGACCACTCAGCAGGCGATCCGCCGCACTCCTGGCATTCCGGCCAACATTGCCAACGACCTTTGCGATGGCCTCCAGGTGTACTCGCAAAAGGTTAACGACATTCTTCGCCAGGCTGTCAATGAGGTCGCAGATATCAAAATCGATCTCGAGTACAATGACAAGGTTCTTTGTTCCAATAAACTGGAGGCTAGCATCATTTCCGAGGAACGTGAGCAGCTCAAGCGCGATGTTGCTGAGATTCATCGCAAGTACGAGGAGTTGGAGGATCGTCTTGCGCGCTACCACGTGGAGCAGGAGAACCACAAGAACACGGTTCTCGAGTTCTTGGCCCGCCTCGATCCTCGCAATGATGAAGAGAATGGAGACAGAGAGCAGATCGTTGCCGAGTTGCTTCAGGTTCGTTTCTATGATTCTCGTTTATGGGAAATTGCTAATGGCACCACAACAGACTCTCAAGGACTTCATGGACCGCCCTAGCTCCCGCTGGATGCACGGAGAGCGTGAGAACTCTTCCAAGGCCATTGCCATCCTCAGTACAGAGAGCATCGCCGCGCTTGAGAAGGAGAACCACCCTCAGTCGGCTAAGCGGCTTCAGCAGTCTCAGGATGCACGTCGTGCCCCTGGTTCGGAATCACATGAGATGATCCCCACCTTGGACAATGCTCTGCAGCCGTTCTACCACCAGCAGAACATTCCGGGCTTTCCACCTGCTCATAATGCCCCTTCCACTTCTTTCCCGGGCATGTATGGCCCTGGCCGTCGGTCTGGTGACAACCGCACCATATCTTCCGCGGGTTGGACGCGCGCGTCTAGCGGCACCCCTACTCAATATACCGGTTCTTACTCGCAAACTCGAGACATTCAGAACGGTTTCAGCGGCGGATATCAGCAGCCCAATGGCTTTGAGGGACCCAGTAACCATCGAGGCCGGTTCAACATGCCGTCCCGCCCTGGCACTGCCATGAGCCACCGCGGCTCGTTCCGTCCCAATGCTCCTGAGTTCCACCCGGGCATGTATGGCAACGCAGACAACAGTGGCTTCCACAATGATACGTCCTACAACATGAGCTACGGCTCAGGATCCAATGCTGGTTCTCGCCACAACTTCAACGGAGGCAGCACTCCTTTCCGCAGCCCGACTACTCGCTCCGCTGGTCATTACGGCAACTTTGAAGGACCCGGTGGTGGCTTTCCTCGCCCGCCTCCTCTGGTTCCTTCGGGACGTCAAATCTCCCATGGTTCCCAGTACGGCATGGGCTCGAGCCACATGGGCTACAGCAACGACTACTCGATGGTTCCACAGCGCACTCGTAGCCACGGCCCCAACTCGTCCGGCAACAGCCACCATACGGCTAACATCCGTCAGCAAGGAGCTTTCAGTCCCGGTCCCTTTGGCCAGGGTGGCCATGGCCCCAGCCATGCAGTCACCAGTCCATTGGCTCCCGGCAACGGCTTCAGTGAGGATGAAGGCGGCGACAATGAGCGCTATGCTCGTGCTCTTGAGGGCGTTTGGGGTCTCGCGCGGGGCTAGGTGCTCCAGTTTGCCTCGAACGTTGACCTTAGCATTCTGTCGCGCTCCAACGATGTTGCCATCCTTCGTTACATGATGAAGCTCTATGCTCCCTTCAGCGAGCAGCAGGCGTGGTCTTACATTCGTCAGCACATGAACGACCCCATGAGCCGTGCTTGTCTCATCTCTCGTACCATGATCGATCTTCTTATCAATCGGATCTTCACTTTCGAGGCCTGGGAGGGTTTCTCTGTTGATGCTGATCGCCAGCTGCGTGAGATTCGCCACGAGATGAACAATCTCCCTGGTAAGTTGTATCTGACACGTCTCTCAATGCAAGAATATGACTAACTTAAACAGCGGGTCAAGGTGGTGCTCTTCAGCTGTGTATTGATCGAGTTGCGTCCCTGGTTAACTCTTGCATCAACCATGAGCGCTACGACGCCTACCGCAACCACCGGATCGAGTACTTCCAGGCTGAGCTCCGCGAGATGCTCTCGCCGCTCTTGCTGCCCGAGTCTGAAGGCGGTCCCGACCTCGAGAGGGCCGACGAGGCGCTTTGCCAGATGTGCGAGAAGGCATGGTCCATCTCGGCGAAGATGTTTACCTCGCGATGGACTTTCGAGTTCCGCTTTCCCGATACGGGAGCGCGCTTCAACACTGGAACCATGGTTGGAATCGCGCCCAACATTGGTCCGCAGCTTCTCCAGGCTGAGCATTGGCGCGTGCAGCTTGTGGTTACCCCCGTCATCACCGTCCGCAATGATACGGGTACTTCCATCTCAGTTGCCTCAATCACCAGCGCTCACGTCATCTGCATGAAGTAGTCGGTGGCTTTACGCCAGACCAACTTCGCTGCATTTCACTCTGCGTGCTTTCTTCACCAATGAAGCTTTCTCTATATAACGAGGAAGCTGCTGTACGACTTACGACTCACGACACGTTTGCGATTCTGCTTTCTCCCGGTTTCTTCCTAAAGCTCTCCGACAGCAATCATGAAAAGACCAAACAAGAGCGGTACTCTCAACTCCGCCAAAGTTGCCTTTCGAGAGCTTTCATACAGAGCCATCATCGTCACCATCACTATTATCAGCAAGGCTCTCACCGATACTGAGAAAGCAGTACCACCATCAGGCAAGGTTCTCAACACGAAGAGAACAGTGCCACCGTCACCAGTACAGCACTGAACGCGGTCCATGAGACCAAAGAAGATGACAAAAAGCCTTAATGATCTTTGGGAATTCACAACTTGGACTTCTTCTCCCTCTGAACATGTTGGAGTATTTGGACATGCGCCCCCGACTCCTTCAGCTCCATTGGAACCAACTTGCGAGAGACCTTTGGAACATCTCGGAAAATTGGGAATGGATACGCAGAAATTGGGTTCGGGATTGGCAGTTGCGACAAAAATCAACAAAATCACCAAAAAAATCATTTGCTTTTTTCTTTCTTTGCTTTTTGTTTCCAGGGGGGATTCCCTTGGCTAGCTACACTGGTCACTGAAGTTTTCTAGCTAAATTTCGAGGAAAGATGTGTTGCGGCCGAGGGACTGGATTGGCTCAGAGAAAATTGGCGATAGAAAAGTACCAAAAAAAAATCGTAAAAGTCTTGTAAAAACCTTGGTTCTCGAAATGATGGTGACAAGGTAAAAGTGAGTAAGGCCTCTCTCTGCGTGAGTGAACTATGCAGAGCTTCAACATTGTGACTATCGCTGCCGTAGTAGGTTTATCGCACTACAATGCTGCATTTCAAAGTAAGCGACATGGAGATTTGGTTTTCACCCCAGCTATCAAATCACTAGCAATCTGAGACAAATTTTTGTATGTTGCGATAATTCATTCATTGTAACACGCTCTACTGGCGTATTGGTCTGTTCGGCATCAACTGTGCCGTCTTCGTGTATACGTTCAAGCAATGAAGACTAGGGTATTCAATCTTCATCCGTCATGAGTCGTCCGTTTCCAACTCCATCCAATCCTCTATCCTAGGAACCACTCTATAACGTCTAGTCAGACGACTTGCGGAACTTGTTAACGACACGCTCAATACCGTCGCATCCCTTCTTCAGGGTCTCCATCTTGGGGCCGTAGGAGAAACGGACGAAGTGGTGGCAAGGGCTGTCGAAGAGATCACGGCGTCTGGAGGGGTTCAGGTCGAAGAAGATACCAGGCACGACGATGACCTTCTCCTCAAGACAGGCCTGGAAGAAGTTGAGACCGTCGGCAATGGCCTCAGGAAGACCCTCAAGGTTGAGCCAGCTGGTGGATGTCAGTCTTAGCGCTTGACCTTGTCTCTTTCAACGACAGCAACTTACAGGTAGAAAGTGGAGTCGGGGACGTATTTAATGATGAATCCCATTTCGCGGAGTCTGCGAACGACGTAGTCACGCTTGTCCTACTCACTTTATTAGGAAATTTCAAACTCGAAGCCGCTCGCTCAATCGACTTACGCGGAAGTGCTTTTGCAAGGAGATCATCTCCGTCTTGACGAGAGTAGGGTCAAGCATGGGGATTGCCGCCTCCTGGAAGGGGTGGTTGGCACCACCGTCAAGGTAGCTGCCGCAAGAGCCAATGCTAAAGTTGTGTCAGTGTCTCGGTCCACCGTTCCAATCTCATGGCCACCATTAGGTACACATGTGGAGGAAAAACTCACGCCTTGATGTATTCTGCAAGCCATGTTAGCAAGTGGTTCATTAAATTTATAGATATCAATCACATACCCTTGGGACCAAGGATCCACGCAACACGCCAGCCGGGCAGTCTGAAGCGCTTGGTCAAGCCGTCGATAATGAGAACATCGTCCTCATCGACGTCCTCGACGTTCTCAGCAGCAGAGATGGTACTGCCGTCACAGTTGCTCGTATAGTTGTAGCCGGAGTAGAACTCGTCGCTGACGAAGGTGGCGCGGCCACGGCAAATATCCTGGATCTCGGCCAACTCGGGGTTGGCAACGACACGGCCGGTGGGGTTGCGGGGGTTCGAGGTCAGAATGACAGAAGAACCACGGGAGATCTCCTCAGCGATGCGGTCAGGGTGGATGTGGTAGCCGTCCTCCTCGGCGAGAGGGACAGGGATGGCGGAGAACTAAATACTCAGTGTCAGATGCTGTACATTCTTTCATGCTTCAAACTCAGAAATAGAGACATACGTTCTTGAAGAGAGACAGCATCTCGTTGTACGCCGTGTAATCGGGCAAGAAGAAAGAGAGGTAAGAGTTCCCGAGAACGGCAGCGATACGAATCAGACCGGCGCGACCACCAGGGACGATTGCGACGTTCTCCCAAGTGTACTTGCTATCCTTGCCCTCGCGGTGCATTACGTTGTAGAGGTTGGCAACAGCCTCGCGGAGTTCTCTGATACCGGCTGTAGGGCCATACTCGCGACCAGCCATGGAGATATCGATAGTGGTGGGACGGGGAAAGCAGCCAGCAATATCATCCTCAACTTCGGGGGCACCCTGGCCCAAGTTGGCCCAAGCATCGGGCTCCTCGAGAAAACCGTACTCGGAGGCACGCTCAGTACACCAAACGACACCGGTGGAGGCACGGCTAGCATCGAGACCGGCGTGGGGCTGGTGGCCTTCGTGGGCATTACGGAACTGTCTGTGAGTCTTTGACTGGACCTCTGATGGAATATGTCAGCATTAGTTTTTTCTTGAGGTGAAGTTATCATGGCCAATGGCGCCGATCAGAAAGCCAAGAATGACATCGAGCTTGAGTTGGAGTTGTGTGGAGAACGAGGGGCAACTCTGCTCAGCTCCTACCCCGCACTCAACACCAGAGCTCGACAACAAGCTTTTCTCCCATCCTTTGTGCGTATCTGTATAACTTGGTTGAAGCCACGACAAGTCGAGCAGATAGGTACTGCTTGGACGACTGAATGGAATTTGTATAGAAATGAGGAAAGGGAGGTTTTCGTTCTTACCATTGCCTCCAACCTCGCCGACACTGAAGCGTCTTGGCTTGGGCACACCGGTGTGCCGGTTGATGGAGAACTTGCGATTGCTGAACATATTGCCTTGTTGCACGCAGCTGACGAATGTGTGTGGGCTTTGTTGTGGAAGTGACGGTAGGAGATGTTAGCAGCTGCGTACTGGGAGCTGCAATTGAAAGGGGGGAAAGAGTTTAATGGTCGGTGAAAGAGGTTTCTCCGATATCACCTGGCTGGAGCAAAATCTGGGGAAGGTGAGGAGGGAAGAGTGCAGGTGCGGGAAGGGTGAAGCTAAAAACAAAAGGGGGCAGAAAGGGCTGTTCACCTTTTCAAGGTGAGGCAGCGAGGGGCACAAAAAACGTCTTATACGGGGAAGCTATGAGCTGGAAGGCTTCTCTTCACCGGCACTTGGGTCCTGACGTTGGCTTGGGAATCCCTGCAGGTCAAGAATGCAGCTCCTATGCAGGCTCTTCCAGGTGTGGAGATTTCAGAATGCGATAGCGACGCTGATAGGCCGGGGAACCGATTTCTTCCTTCTTGAAGATGAACGTGGGACTGTCACTTGACGAAGTTGAGCGGATGGTTACCGAGTCTCGCAGGGCGACGGGGGTCAAAAACAGGTCCTGAAAGGATAGTAACAGCAAACAGTGTTTGGGTCTACAGCCAGAGCCAGTCTCAGTCTAGTCCGCGCCGAATCCGTGCCGCTTGTGCCGTCTTCAGGCCAGAACCAAACGAGTCCTGAATCGTCGATCTGTCATTAGGGGCAGGTTCGGTGATGAGAAAGAACGCAGCGCAGACGACATTACAATGTTTCGCAAGGGCACTTCTTATCGAGAAACGCAACGCCAGCGCGTTTCTGTGCCCGAAAGTTGCCCCTCCTCTGCCCCTCGTTCTCCCTCGCCAACGTCAACGATTCGGGTTGGTACCACGACAGTACGTAAAAAAAGCGGTGTCTAGAGTCAGTGTCCTGCTCCAAAGCGGATCTCCGCATCACGGCCTGCCCCGTACCCAGTTGCGAATGCGATTCGTGCCCAATCACTGCAGGTAGCCGTCTCCCGTCCCGGATTGAGGGCCGCGAGGGCCTAACTTCTGGGGGGGAATCGGCCCTCGCCAGACCTTCTCCAGAGTCTAGCAAGGGGCAGGATATCTCGATTTATCGTGAGTATCAAGTCATCAACGGCACACAAAGTGGATATTGCACAGCTTTCTGCGTTGCTGAACGCTCGGCCCAACCATGTAAGATAAGCCTGGCAATCTAGGGCGGGTCCCGAACGTGACTTGCCGGGACATTCAGGGCGTTTGTGTTGTCGTCGTGGGCCGGCGCACCCGATCATCGAATTTGATAGGTTTTCTAGGCCAGAGAGCAAAGGAAATATCTGAAGAAGCCAACCAGCAGAATCATTTGGTTACCTACGACCAACAGATTGAGCCACCTCATATGGACGCATGGACAATCAGCCATGACGCATCTGGGGGAGAGCATAACCCTAGCATTCATTACCTCGAGAATCGAGAACAGCAGTGACAGAGACTCACGAAACCGGCGACGGCGAGTACATAGTTCGCTGGGTCCCGTGTACCGAGACCTTAGCGTCACCTTGACCCCGTTCGTCGCGGCCCCTGGGAGAGACGGAAGACGGCCGAAGATGCAGGCCGGCCGAAAACAGTCAATATGATCACGTGATTCGTTGTCTTCTCTTTCCCCGCCAAGCCACGATGCGATCCCAGAAACCCGGGTGGACAAATTATGACGCTTCATGTTTGGCATTGTTCAGATCCGAGGCATCCAGGGACTCAGTTCCTCCATTTTTCCAAAGCGGCGAACCACGTGTTGGCTATCAGGCGCACTTTCTTCAAGCCTGAGCACCAAGGAGAAGGCGGTGCATGGCGGTGCAAAAAAAGCCTATGTGGCTGCGGCGAGCCTCCTGGCCAATCAGACTGCGTTTGTGACTTCACCCAATAAGCCCCTCAGCGGTCACGAGCAATGCCCCCGGGGAGGCTCAAAGATCATAATCTCTCAAAGACAAACTAGTCAGAGCGATAATTCAACTTCAGACTCAGGCAGAATGACCAGGCAGATTACTTTGTCAAGGCTCTGAGAGCTTTGATAAGAGGCGATGAGTAGAACCAATATAAGATGACTGGTCTGAAGTAACTCAGCATACCCTTGAAACCCATACCATTAACAGTAACAACAACAACAAAGACTTGAGCAGTATCAACTCACCTGACAACTTGATATTACACCTTTGTGGCCCATATTATTGATTGAGTAGCATTTCCCATCAAGTCAAACTTTCGGAGCTTTCTGTTTTACCACAAACTTTCCTTCGAGAAAGAACAGCCACATACATCGCCTTCCCCGACGGCTCCAGCCCCACTTTGACATTTATATCAACTTCACTGCGGCAGCAGCAATCCTCCTTCACAATGCCTTACCTCGGCGATTCTTTCTCCTCCACAAACCCTTACTCCGCCAGCGAGAAACCCGAGATCAGCATGTCTA